CCTGTCTAAGTGCGAGTTAATCACACTGCTGATCAGCCACTCGTGGCCGAACGGTTAAGTATTCAAACTACTAGCCGGGAGGTCACGGGTTCGAGACTCTTCGGAGTTTCGTGAGATACGCACTGCTGATGATTTCCAATAAGGATGAAACAGCTGTACAGTGCTTCTCAGTTTTTCAGCACAGATTGGCTTCACTTACAGGACGAAATCCCCACAGTGATATCAGTCTATTCCCTCGTCTATCGGAATGTCTTCACAAGTTGTCTCATTGTTGCTACCGTGTTCCAGAGACCCATATAGGTGAGTTTCACGTGGATAATTAATGAAACCAGAGAAACTATATCCACAATTCAAATCAATGGGGCTCGCTTTCAACCTTGACCGAATGTCATTGCGTGTAGGTTTCAGACGGGAATGCTAATGTAACAGTTATCCAAACTGAGTTTGGGAGGGGAGGGTTGGGTTGCAATATTTCAGGCCAAGTAAGGGAGCACCGGCCTAATAATTCTATATTTTTATAAATTTATACGATTTTTATTAGGTCGTTCAGTAAACTGTAGAAGTCGGTTGGTTTTCCAACCTGTATAACCGATTGGCTGCAGTTACCAATTCTGTTTGGAATTTGGCAGGCATCCTATTCCAGACTTGACCGCCATACCGACAGGTAGCTAAACAACTGGTGGAGCTATCCTACCAGTGAAAAGTAAAGAAAAGTAGAGTAAATAGGCTAGAACATGCGTGTCTTGAGAGAGAGAGTGAGAGAGTACAGAAACAACAGGATCAACATACCATTCACTGCATCCGGTTCTGAATGAGGAATATCTGGGAATTAGAAAGAAAAAAACGAATGGTCATTGAAGAGGATGTTAACTCGCAGAAAACCATCATAAATTGTATAACAAATCTTTTACAATCTCGTAAATGTTGCCAACATTGACTCCGGCACTAGTTCCATTCAAGTGCCATCATGTCTATAAAATGTTTCCCTTGAAAACTCGTCACAAATTTATCTCAAATATACCTTTCTCATAGTAGCACAAGTTGATTTCCACATCGCACTGACTGTGCAGAGGAATTCGGGTCGGAGTGAGACCTTTGACACTGTACGGTAGTGATGACTGATTGCGATCGATACCGGTCCAGCTGGTGTCTGCTCGGTTTGGTGCATCCATACAAATGTACTCTTCCGTGACGCGCATTCCTTCAATCTG